AGTCAGAGAGTGCGGCAGGGCACCATGAAGCGGTGCAGTGTGGGAGCTTGTCATGCTACGTGGCTCTACTCATGGGTTGAAAGCGCCTCAGCCAGTGCGGGACTGGCAACATAATCCTAAAAACAGGTCACAAGCATCATGCTTACTACTTAGCAGCATAGCAGGTTCTTCTTATCAAGTAAATGCAGGCCTGAAGCAGAATCTTAATGTATTCCCACAGTGTAATCATCAGTGAAACCCAAAAAAGACTCATGGATTCGATGAATAAGTATTGCCACATCCCTTTTACACATGCATCTAACTTGGAATTTTTTAGTATTTAAATAGTTTAAACCCAGCTGAAATTCCTTTAAAAAGTGAATGTCATAGCACACGTACGTCTGCACGTCAAGATGTGTTAAAGATCGCTTCATCTGGAAAGCATCTACGGTGTAGCCTACTACAAACATCTTATAGACGTCTCTTAAGATGTCAGTTTTACATACATTATAAAACATAAACGTCTTAAAGACATTTTCTAAACGTCTATTTGACATCTGATAGTAAACGTCCTACAGACGTATTAGAAACATTAAAAAATACATCTTGCAGATGTAAATGCAGCTGATAAATAGACTTCTCTGTGATGTAAGTTTGCTATCAGGGCGTCGGGACCATTGAATGAGGGTGGGACGGGACCCACCCACTTTTGAAGACCAATGATATCAGGGATAATTCCTACATTGTTTTTAACTTTCAAAATCAATCTATTACTAATTGTTTCGATGCAATTAGTCAATTAGCAATTTGTTTTTTCTCTGTCAGAAACTGTGGTTGATCAACTTTAATTAACCTATAAGTAAACGTGACTCTCTTTTCAGCCACAAGAGAGCGCTGTTCTCAAGTCACTAACTTTGTACATTTTTCCAAAGCTGGCCAAGTGTTTAAAAACGATCCAAGTGACTTGAGGCATATAAATGAATGTCTACATTACAATTTAGAGTGATCTGTTATCAGAAGTGAATGTGTCCAAGTAATGTTCATTTCACAAATGAACAGTTCAAGGTAATAGATAGTCCTAGACTAAAAGTCCAGTGTTTCGTGACCTTAAAGAGTGTGATGGATTATAGTCAAGTTGCCATTAAGCCCTAATATGACCTTTAACTGTCCCTCAGTGAGCACTTGTCCCCGTGCAGTGTAGCTACTTACCTGCACTACTTCTGCATTAGCTGGATAATGGACGTACAGTATAGCTTGACCAAACGGCATGGAGTCACATCTCCCGGCAGTATGAGTACAACAACATAATTCACTTCGCAAACTCAGCATAATGTAGAGTTTGCGTTGTTTCTGTTTGACTCTGTACTCAGCAGTTGTGGATGGAAATTCTGCCATTGTTTACTCGCTCTCCTGTTCAGTGGCGTGCACGTACAGACCTCTGGAGGGGCAGGGGAGAAGTGGGGTTACGAGGGCACCTAGATCAGACCAAAAGGGCGCTTTAGCGTCGGTGATTATTAAAAGGGCAGGGGCTCGAACCCTGTTGCACGCCACTGCTCAAGTCGTATGACTGACTTATTTCCTCACGGTCGAGGGTTGTAGTTTCGTAGTTAGTCAGAGAGTGCGGCAGGGCACCATGAAGCGGTGCAGTGTGGGAGCTTGTCATGCTACGTGGCTCTACTCATGGGTTGAAAGCGCCTCAGCCAGTGCGGGACTGGCAACATAATCCTAAAAACAGGTCACAAGCATCATGCTTACTACTTAGCAGCATAGCAGGTTCTTCTTATCAAGTAAATGCAGGCCTGAAGCAGAATCTTAATGTATTCCCACAGTGTAATCATCAGTGAAACCCAAAAAAGACTCATGGATTCGATGAATAAGTATTGCCACATCCCTTTTACACATGCATCTAACTTGGAATTTTTTAGTATTTAAATAGTTTAAACCCAGCTGAAATTCCTTTAAAAAGTGAATGTCATAGCACACGTACGTCTGCACGTCAAGATGTGTTAAAGATCGCTTCATCTGGAAAGCATCTACGGTGTAGCCTACTACAAACATCTTATAGACGTCTCTTAAGATGTCAGTTTTACATACATTATAAAACATAAACGTCTTAAAGACATTTTCTAAACGTCTATTTGACATCTGATAGTAAACGTCCTACAGACGTATTAGAAACATTAAAAAATACATCTTGCAGATGTAAATGCAGCTGATAAATAGACTTCTCTGTGATGTAAGTTTGCTATCAGGGCGTCGGGACCATTGAATGAGGGTGGGACAGGACCCACCCACTTTTGAAGACCAATGATATCAGGGATAATTCCTACATTGTTTTTAACTTTCAAAATCAATCTATTACTAATTGTTTCGATGCAATTAGTCAATTAGCAATTAGTTTTTTCTCTGTCAGAAACTGTGGTTGATCAACTTTAATTAACCTATAAGTAAACGTGACTCTCTTTTCAGCCACAAGAGAGCGCTGTTCTCAAGTCACTAACTTTGTACATTTTTCCAAAGCTGGCCAAGTGTTTAAAAACGATCCAAGTGACTTGAGGCATATATATATATATATATTATATATATGAAAAAAATAGTTTAAAAGATTATAATAATGAAAAGAGGAAGGGCATGTAAAGGAAATAGACATTTGGTCGGGACAGATGAGTCACTGTTGTCATGACTTCACAACAGTGCCCTCCTGTTGATGGTTGTCAGTCACATTATAAGCAGTGAATAACTGGGACTCTATTCAACTTAAGAATTCTAAGTAACAATAGTAATTACTGTAATGTGCAAAAGGGAAGTCAGTGTGACGTGATCCTTCCTTCGTTGATGGTTGTCAGTCACATTATAAGCAGTGAATAACTGGGACTGTATTCAACTTAAGAATTCTAAGTAACAATAGTAATTACTGTAATGTGCAAAAGGGAAGTCAGTGTGACGTGATCCTTCCTTTTACTGAATGAACAGTACAACGTTTAATGTAGTTTTGCCTCAAATATAAATCACTGGGAGGGTTCTCACAGTTTTCTCACAGATGTTACACTACTGCCACAGTACTGGAGCCCTGTGAGTGCTATACATAAAGGCCTTCCTAGAGCCTAGGCAATGTTCCCAGCTGTTCCCCCTGACGATTGCTCCACACAACTTTACTTTAAATAGCTTCATGTGTTCTGTTTCCTCAAAAATGTTGAGTATCAGAATAAGAGCACACATTTACCAGTGAACTACATATTTATAGTAGGCTAGTACTCTCCCCTTCCCGTCATATGTAGAGAAAACTGGAATGACTTGTGGGAACTAAATATAAACACTGATTACGGAATTTGATTACACAAGCTGGCAAAAGTACAGTGGCAGTCTGTTTCTCAACTGCTTTTTTGTTTGTTTTGGTGTAATTCATAACTGGGCTAATCTTGTGCAATGGACCATTTTTGTTGTTAATATAACTAATAGCCTACCAAACAAAAGCCTATAAAGAAATAATCTTTTTATTTCATTTTCAGAAAGGCAATTTTAGACTTCTTTTAGAGCATTTAAATAAAGTGATAAATTTTTTAAACTGCATTTAAAGGCCCTATTTCAACAATATTTGTTGATATTCTGTCATTGTTAATCTACTACAATTGAAATGTAAAGATTAATTGAATGAATATTAGATAAGAAACATGTTCTCCAATGTGAAATAAAAAAGTCAAATAAAAAGCGGCAGCTGTGGTTGTGAAAATGTTTATATTTTCACTTAAAAATATAACTATATTTTACTATATGCCTTTTTAAATATTGATTTCATGCTTTTGTACAATATTTTACAGTACAATTAATTAAAGTGTAATTCTTAATTGTTAAATTATAATTTTCTTAAAATATAGTAGCATTTTTCACGGTTTTTATTGTAACATTTTACATAGTTTTTGTGCTAAAATTATTAACATTTTTATATTGTACAAATGCCATGAAAAAAGAATATTCTTCTCATGACACATGTACAATGCATGCACCGTCATGCGGAAAGAACAATCAGTGCTTATTTCTAAACATTATCTCAGAAAATGAGAGAGTTGCATGTTGTTCCTCGTTCCTCATTCCCAAACCAGCATCACTGATGAGCTTCATAGCAGTCTGCCAATGAAACATCTCGTTTACTACGTAATGTCCTTCAGGAGAAAGACAAGTGATGAAATATTTAAAGTTATTGTTGAAATTTTAAATAACAATGGTCATGTTCATGAAGTGTGAAGTGTAGGTACTTCCCAGGTGACATAAAACATTTAAATGCTGAACTTGTAGAGATGAAATCATCTGAACTAAGCAATAGTGGTCTCACCCTGTGTCCCCCTCATCATCAATAAAACAGATATGATAAAATACACAAACTCGTACTCATACTTTACAAGTCTTGTAAAGCAAGAAAACTCCAAAACTTGAGTTACAGTCGATATTCCATAACCTAATATAATCACATCAGTAATGATGTATAATGATGATTATGATAACACTCCTTTATTTAGACTTACAGTTAAAATGTTTGATTGAATTGGGGGGGGGATATAATATTAAGCCATCAAATATTGTGTATCAGTGGTATAAAGAGCTGTAAATTTAAAAAGTTTTAAAAGAAAATGTCAAAAACTCTTAATCCTCTGAGGTACATAGTTTCATATTTTTCTCAATATAACTTTTTTTAAATTTGATTAATAATCAATAGAGGTACAATTTATAAGAAATATATTATTGTTATTATTAAATATTATATATATATATATATACACTTGCAAATAAATAACTGCATAATGTAATTGATGCCACTCTATAAAACTTCCCTGTGCGGAAATGTATTGGCATCTATCGTGGAGCGTTAGAGTACTGTCATAAGGCAATTTCTTGTAAAAAGTCTGTTAGACAAAGCTGAACTCAAAAGAGGTCGCTTATAGTGAGCTTTATTAATGAATTCTTCGGTAAGTTCATCTTTGCGTCAGAACAGTCTCCCTCAGCGCGTCCTGAGCGCAGCGGATAAAGTTGGGCGAATGGGCGTTCACTAGCCGTCCGTATGACATAATCTCAAAAGGGAATTCTCGGTCAGTCCCCTATAAAACCGGCTGTTCTCTCCAATGCTGTAGTCACTGAGAGCACAGCCGCTGCTATCAAACACAGGACGTCTCGAAAACGGTCTATTTCTACCGCCATGTCTTCATACGCGTCTTCAGACTCTCGTCGCGTCAAATTCGGCACGGCGCACCGCAAGAAAGCCTCGCCGAACATCTTCGAGAACGTCAACCAGGACGCCCTGGTGAAACTCTTCGAGAAAGCCGGAGACCTGAAGGCGGCGGAGAGAGCCAGGAGCATCCTCGCGCTGCACCAGGATCCTGAGGGCATTTCCAGAGCGCTCATGGCTCTTCAGCAGGACAAGGACACATTTATGCTCATTACCGGACTGACGCGCCAGTCGCTGAAGTTTCGTTGAAGGAAGTTTTCGTTGGGAAGCTGTGCAGAGGTGTGCACAGAGAAAGAAACCGTGATCACTTATGCTGGAGGCTGGTGTTCCTCAAGGCTTTGTGCTGAACTTGTGATGGTTTCCTTCCAGAGTCATGTTGGTGTGCTCTGAAAATACAGAGAGAGGAGACTGAACTGATCCAGCGCTAGAAAAGTTGAGCTTGAAGACACCTGAGCATTGATGCTTCTTAACACCATGGAGAACACTTGAAATATATACTGATGCCACGGGTGAAATTTGCTTATGAAGAGGTTCGGTATTTATTGACTGAATTGCCATGTTACAGTCTGCTTTAAAAAAAAAACAATAGTAATAAATGTATTGTCATGATTATTCCTTTTTCTTAAAATGTGTTTCCCTTGCCAGTCACTCAATGAGTTAACACTGTCAAACAACAAACGTGAAATATTAATGTAATAAACATTGCTGAAGCTAGCATTTAGGGCTTTAAAAAAAAAACAATAGTAATAAATGTATTGTCATGATTATTCCTTTTTCTTAAAATGTGTTTCCCTTGCCAGTCACTCAATGAGTTAACACTGTCAAACAACAAACGTGTGAAATATTAATGTAATAAACATTGCTGAAGCTAGCATTTAGTGAATGAATGTCTGCAGGGTGGTTTCAAAATAGATTTCAGCTCCATCTGTTAAATTCAGAGTTGACAAAACAGCCATATTTTGTATACACTGTAGGCACATGCTTTAAATGCTTGTGCATGTGCTTTTATGGTGTTGTTAATGTACCAACTTAAAATAAAGAAAATTATGTGAGGGGGGAAAATATAAACCTAAAGGAAATATATACAAAATACTAATTATGCTATTTGCTTTGGGGGGCTTAAGCCCCTGATCTTGAAGATGGAACATGTTTTACTTCCCAAATAAAATGTTTAGAAACATTTAATTTGTTTCTCAAGTGTTAGAAATCCATGAAGAAAAACAGTCTGCGCTGCTGGCTGTATAGATTAGGCTACCGCTTACAATGCGACATAGACGAAAAAATCGGTCTGTGCGATCAATAAATTTAGTATAGCACGCATGCGATTCAATTTTGCGCTGTGTGAGCCTGTTTACAAATCTGTTGTCAAACAAAGAGAACATTTAATGACATGTTTTTTTTTTTGTCCAAATTCACTTAACATCAGTCGAGCGTTTGAAATAACTTTCTGACATGGTTTCATATCAGAGAATGAGGCAGAAATCATACTATTATAGTATTCAATACGGTGATAGAAAGCAATTAACATGCATTATAAATATACTTTATTTTTATTTTTAAAAAACGCCCGAGGTGGCTTGAAGAACACAGATAAACCATATAATGTCGCAAACGTATGTTTATTGTATATGTTTCATCATGTAAAACGTCTCTAAATGTATTTAATTCAGTCACAGCAATAGCTGGATATATTAGGGATTTATAAAACTTTGTCAATATAAGGGATTTCCTGGAGCGTCATGAGTTCTATTACTTCAGTGAGGACGCCCTCCGGATACCAGTATGAACGAAACAGACATTACAATATGTGTGTATTCACTACTGTTCACACAACTCCTTAGTTGGATAAAAATAGGAAAGCTAACACTTTTCTCCAAAAGAAATTGGAAGTAAACATCCATATCCATACGTTTTTCTCCGGTGTAGAGAAGTAGGGGAGACTGGGGTTGTAACATTTTTGACATTTCTGTCTGTATCTTGGAGTTCTTGTAAATCAGTGTGTTCAAATTGTGATTCAAACTAGTCACAAGTGCCTGCTATTAAATGGCGTAGCTGTTATCTTTGCAGCATAACACAGAAAATGCATGGTTTAGTTTCAAACACAAGGAGTGAAATGTTACAATTCACCTCATATAGTCCGGGTTAGTTGTAACATACCCTGGGGTAAGATGTAACATTATGCAATAAGGATTATGAGGAAAAAAAAAAAAAGAAGGATTTTGGAAGCTTTTGCGCAAATGTGCACCAGCTCCAACAACTGAACACTGTGTGTGTGTGTGTGTGTGTGTTTAATAATGTTTGTTAATGTCAGTCATAGTAATTGGCCATAATACAATTGAACTTGAACACTTGAACTTTGAGAGATGCCCCTCAGTTTGTCTTTCTTTTCCAAGACCTAGGCATACTGAAAATCAAAGTAAACACATTAATTAAAAAAAATAGCTTGGGGTAGGTTATAACATGTTTCATTGCTGTTACAACTAACCCAGTGTCTTGTAGCCATAAAAAAGTGAATTAGCTTTAGAATTAGATTTGTAACTTGTTCCTTATTTGAGAAATTGCGTCTGACCCGTGTTACAGCCATCCCCGGTCTCCCCCTACAGCAGTTTTTTTTCTTTCTGTGGATGCATATGATTTCCTGACAAAAATTAAGAGAGTACTGTCACAGATTTTTTTTTAAATCATAATAATTTAATATTGTATAATAAAATCTTAGACATTTCTAACGATTGATTGTTATGGCTCCCTGCATGTTAACAGGTCACCCTGCAGTTTTCTGTAAAATAAACTTTTTCTCTAAAATACAATGATGTAATAATTATTACAGTTATCCTTTAATACTCTGTTTTGTATATTATAGTGAAACTGTTATTACAATAGTGATATTTCTTAGTTTGTTTAATGTTTTTATATAGTAATAATAGAACATTAATGTCCTGAACTGCAATACTGGTGGTTGTTTTTCAAGATGGTAACATGTTTTATTCTTGTGATACAATTGTGTAGCCTGCATGTGCTACAAATCTTTCAAACTCTGTAGCACCAGTGCTATTTGCAAAAATAAAGTTAGTGTCACCTTACATTTTCATTCCACTAAACGCAGCTTTGAAGCCCTCGTTTTCTGTTTATATCACCAGATCGTGATCTTGATTGAATCACCCACAATCTGATTCCTAAATTACAATGATTCTGCTAGACTAAAGACTGTGAACTTGTTACATACTGCTGTCTCTGCTGTCATCACTGTTGTACAATTATCAAAGTATTAATACACACTAAAAATGCTGGGTTGTTTTAACCCATCCTTAAATGATTTTAGCAAATGGCTGCAATATAACAAAGAGTGAAAAATTTAAGGGGGTCTGAATACTTTCCGTACCCACTGTATCTTCAGACCCTAGCAACGCCCCTGGTTGAAGTATTTCAATCTAAATGAATAGTGACTTGCCGCTGAAATATCGCTAATGTGGCCTTGCCTTTACATGCAATTTTAGGGTCATATATGTGATGTCATCATTTTAATTAAATAACGAGAAACTTAAATGAAATGATCTCCCTGACTTCAAGTGTACTGTATATCTTAAGGCCAGTTCACACCAAGAACAAACTAAATAGCGTCCACACCAATGGACGATAACGTTTCTGTTCAGCTTTGTCCTCTGCCCCTTTAAAAGCTTGGATTCTGATTGGCTGTCAATGTTTTTTTCATTCATCGGATCGTTCTGAAACGATATCTTTAGCTGTGGTGGGGACTTCCGATTCTCAGACATATTGGTTCTTTAATAATGAATAAAGTGCAGTCAAGGTATTGGCCTATATAAAACAACCTTTAGTGTAAATATGTTCCAGGCAGGAAGTCGTTTCACTTTACACTTTCTTTTAATACATGTTTTTCATGAAGCGTGTAAATTAGTCAATAAGACATGTTGGATATTTGCACTTAAATATAATAACACCTCTTTTCCCCACCATTAAAATATCATGTGCCTATACACTGTTCAAAAGACTTCATATTCATTCATGCACTGTAGGCATCAGAAATATGTTTTAGAAAAAGTATGGTTCTGAACCACTGCCGATATGGCTTAAATCCAGTTTAAACATCGAACAATAGTCTTGTAGGCCCTGAGAGCTAGTATTGTTTTATGGTGAGTAAACTATTTGATGCTAGAAATCTTTTCAGCCAATCATTCACATTAAATGAGCAGAGTCCCAGCAGATGTCACAGAACTAATCGTGTTTTTTCTCTGAGATGAGTGTTTTCTGATGTTGATGGTGTTATCCATAAGCAACAGTCAGATACTTCTAGTTTAATCCAGTTTTCACGTGCTTTTAAATGTAGATGTCAATATGGATCAGAAATATGACATTGTTTTAGCAAAGTATTAAATAACGTATGATAAGTTTTAATCCAGTTTCAAGAAGACTGTTGGTAGTGATAGTGTGGCCCTTCTCACATGCTTTATTTTATGACACAAAAGCAAAACAATTTAACCAAAAATATGTTTAAGTACCAAAACTATTGTTTACCACTGGACTGTCTCTATAATGACGTTAAAAGTGCAGATTTTCTTTGTCTCTAGAGGTATTATTACTAAAATGGCTGTTTATTTATTGTCATCTAATCCAACTGTCTACCCTCATTTAATCTGACTCAAAATACTCTCAAATTACGTTTTGTTTTTACAGACCCAACCACATTAAAGTGTTTTGAAGCGAAGTAAGCTGAAAGTAGACTTTTCAGGTATTCTCAAAAACACCAGTCAGGTGGCAGCAAGGTGGCACCAGCGGAGGTGCGACAGACAGCAATGCCTTGCAGTTCTTAAAGGGATAGTTCACGCAAAAATAAAAATTCTGTCATTAATTACTCACCCTCATGTCGTTCCAAACCCGTAAAACCTCCGTTCATCTTCAGAACACAAATTAAGATATTTTTGATGCATTCTGACAGCTCTCTGACCCTCCCATAGACAGCAAGGGTACTACCACGATCAACGTCCAGAAACGTAGCAAGGAGATCGGTAAAATAATCCATGTGATATCAGGGGCTCAACCGTAATATTACGAAGTTACAAGAATACTTTTTGTGCGCAAAAGAAGAAAAAAACCGACTTTATTCAACAATTTGTCTCCTCTGCGTCACCCAATGCGACATTTTGGAGAGTATCCACTTAACGCAAACAGCGTATGTTGTTCTGTATCAGCCGCACCACACGGATACATTGTTTTCGTTCAAATCAAAGCACAAACAACGTAGAAAACGGCACAGTGCTTGCTGTGCTACTGATAATTGTATTTAAATTTATACATGTAGTATATGTATATATTTAATAATAATGATTAATTAAATTACATATATTTAACAAGTTACATTTATTCATATTATTATTATTATATTGTTGTTTTGCTGGGTATTTTTCTTCTTGTTGCATTAATTCTACAGATTCTCACAGATTCCAGATTAAACCAGTTGTGGATTGATGAGAAAGGGGAACTTACAGTTCAACTAGAGTTGTCATACTTCATCTTTTTATCAATCTGTGGGCAGCACTGTGTGTCAGTGTGAGTCACCGTGACCCTTCCAGTGAATCAAGAATAAACACAAGGATACAAACACCCCCGCAGCTCTCTGAACAATCACATTCATTTAAAGTAACTG